GGTTCCTGTTGTCACTACCTTCATGGTTCTTGCTGTCACTACCTTCATAGTTCCTGCTGTCACTACCTTCATGGTTCCTGCTGTCACTACCTTAAATGGTTCCTGTTGTCACTACCTTCATTGTTCCTGCTGTCACTACCTTAAATGGTTCCTGTTGTCACTACCTTCATGGTTCCTGCCGTCACTACCTTCATGGTTCCTGCTGTCACTACCTTCATGGTTCCTGCTGTCACTACCTTAAATGGTTCCTGTTGTCACTACCTTCATAGTTCCTGATGTCACTACCTTCATGGTTCTTGCTGTCACTACCTTCATGGTTCCTGCTGTCACTACCATCATGGTTCCTGCTGTCACTACCATCATGGTTCCTGCTGTCACTACCTTAAATGGTTCCTGTTGTCACTACCTTCATAGTTCCTGATGTCACTACCTTCATGGTTCTTGCTGTCACTACCATCATGGTTCCTGCTGTCACTACCATCATGGTTCCTGCTGTCACTACCTTAAATGGTTCCTGTTGTCACTACCTTCATAGTTCCTGCTGTCACTACCTTCATGGCTCCTGCTGTCACTACCTTCATAGTTCCTGCTGTCACTACCTTCATAGTTCCTGCTGTCACTACCTTCATGGTTCCTGCTGTCACTACCTTCATAGTTCCTGCTGTCACTACCTTCATAGTTCCTGCTGTCACTACCTTCATGGTTCCTGCTGTCACTACCTTCATAGTTCCTGCTGTCACTACCTTCATGGTTCCTGCTGTCACTACCTTCAGAGTTCCTGCTGTCACTATCTTCATAGTACCTGCTGTCACTACTTTCACAGTACCTGCTGTCACTACCTTCATAGTACCTGCTGTCACTACCTTCATAGTACCTGCTGTCACTACCTTCATAGTTCCTGCTGTCACTATCTTCATAGTACCTGCTGTCACTACTTTCACACTACCTGCTGTCACTACCTTCATAGTACCTGCTGTCACTATCTTCATAGTACCTGCTGTCACTACTTTCACAGTACCAGCTGTCACTACTTTCACAGTACCTGCTGTCACTACCTTCACAGTACCTGCTGTCACTACCTTCATAGTTCCTGCTGTCACTACCTTCATGGTTCCTGCTGTCACTACCTTCATAGTACCTGCTGTCACTACCTTCATGGTTCCTGCTGTCACTGACTTCATGGTACCTGCTGTCACTACCTTTATAGTTCCTGCTGTCACTACCTTCATAGTACCTGCTGTCACTACCTTTATAGTTCCTGCTGTCACTACCTTCATAGTACCTGCTGTCACTACCTTCATAGTACCTGCTGTCACTACCTTTATAGTACCTGCTGTCACTACCTTCATAGTACCTGCTGTCACTATCTTCATAGTACCTGCTGTCACTACTTTCACAGTACCAGCTGTCACTACCTTCATAGTACCTGCTGTCACTACCTTCATGGTTCCTGCTGTCACTACCTTCATAGTACCTGCTGTCACTACCTTCATAGTACCTGCTGTCACTATCTTCATAGTACCTGCTGTCACTACTTTCACAGTACCAGCTGTCACTACCTTCATAGTACCTGCTGTCACTACCTTTATAGTTCCTGCTGTCACTACCTTTATAGTTCCTGCTGTCACTACCTTCATAGTACCTGCTGTCACTACCTTCATAGTACCTGCTGTCACTACCTTCATAGTACCTGCTGTCACTACCTTTATAGTACCTGCTGTCACTACCTTCATAGTACCTGCTGTCACTACCTTCATAGTACCTGCTGTCACTACCTTTATAGTACCTGCTGTCACTACCTTCATAGTACCTGCTGTCACTACCTTCATAGTTCCTGCTGTCACTACCTTCATAGTTCCTGCTGTCACTACCTTCATAGTACCTGCTGTCACTACCTTCATAGTTCCTGCTGTCACTACCTTCATAGTACCTGCTGTCACTACCTTTATAGTACCTGCTGTCACTACCTTCATAGTACCTGCTGTCACTACCTTCATAGTTCCTGCTGTCACTACCTTCACAGTACCTGCTGTCACTACCTTAATGTCTCCTGATGCAGTTTGTTACGAAATATTATAAATACTTTTAATGTACACACAGAACAGAGACAGATATAAATAAGATCGACCTACTGACATCCTTCCAGTTTGCTACTGGCTTGTAAGAGTCAGATGTTGGCTTGTAAGAGTCTCTTGCTGGCTTGTAAGAGTCTCTTGCTGGCTTGTAAGAGCTTTAGCCACCAGGTCCCTAGGCCTGGTGGCTAAAGCTCTCGCTTCACACGGTGAGGGTCTGGGTTCGATTCCCAGCGAGGGTAGAAACATTGGGCATAGTTCTTGTTTCTTTACACCTGTTGTCTATATTCACCCATCAGTAAAATGAATACCTGGGTGTTAGTTGACTGGTGTGGGTTGCATCCTGGGAGATAACTGGCCTAATTTACCTGAAATGATCTGCAGTAGTATGTCACTGATGTCAGCTATGGTCTGTATACCTTGTACACGTACTTGTAGACATAAAGATATTATTATTATTATTATTATTATTATTATTATTATTATTATTATTATAACAGTATGTGTTACTTCTGACTTGTAATAGTCTGTTACTGACTTGTAGCAGTATGTTACTGACTTCTATCGGTCTGTCACTGACCTGTAGCATTGGGTTACTGGCTTGTAACAATGTGTTACTGGCTTGTAACAGTGTGTTACTGGCCTGTAACAGTGTGTTACTGGCCTGTAACAGTGTGTTACTGGCCTGTAACAGGGTGTTACTGGCTTGTAAGAATGTGTTACTGGCTTATAAAACATGCTCCTCTGCTTAATATTCAACTTACCTCAGACAAACACTACATTAGGCAGGATTTTAATAAGTATAGGAATGGGATAACAAATATTGTACAGGAAAGGAGAGAGGATCCAGGGGAGCCTCCAGTAAAAAATAGGTAAGCCAGCGTACGCTGGTTTGCTTTCCTGGGTTATCCAGGAAAACAAACCCGCTGGGGGTTAACAATCCGTGTAAATTCCTTTACTGTTAAATGCTAAATTATCATAGTTGAGCACAAAATATTCACGTTTTCTTTCACAAAATTCCGTTCTCCCTCTCTCTCTCTCTCAAAATAATTACGTTTTCTTTCTCACTTGACCACAGAAAACAGATCTTTGAAACACAGTAACTGTTATAAATCCCTCGAGATAAGACTGAGTTGGATTCAATTCAATTCAATTCAAGTTTATTCTCTATAAGGTTTACAATGTGGGGTTTACAGGTTTTGGGTATTGTGTGGTTTACATGTTTAAAATACTAATTACAGAGGGGGCCACTAGGACACCTAGCATGGCTAAGCATTTCGGGCAGACTTAGATTAATTCTTAACATTAAATCCTTACAGATTATGGTATCATAAGGCTAAGTGACTACATCATAATTTGTGAGTTTAGCAATGTGAATGTTTTTGTTTTGGCACAATACAAGGTGTCTATATTGGAGTATCATCGGCAAACTTATGACTAGTTAGGATTTATTATTTTAAGATTAAGATTAGTATTTCTCGGTTTATAGTCAGTGGGTGAGTGAGTGTAAGTGTGAACCACCAGGTGGTTATCATGTAGTTAGTTGATGGGGTGTATCAGGGAGATAAGATGTTTTCTAACTGTAGTTTTGAAAGTGATGAATGTGTCTGCAGTTCTAGAGTTTTCAGGTAGGGTGTTCCAGATTTTAGGTCCTTCAAAATACATTGAATTTTTGTAAAGGTTTAGTCGAACACGGGGAATGTCATAGAGATGTTTGTGTCTGGTGTTATGCCTGTGAGTCCTGTCACAACTATCAAGAAAGAGTTTTGCATCAAGGTTAATATTGGAATTTAAGGTCCTGTAGATATAGATTGCACAGTAGTAAGTGTGGATGTTCTGAACAGGGAGTAAGTTTAGATCTATGAAGAGTGATGGGGGGAGTGTTGCCAGGGATGGGATTTAGTGATTATTCTTACTGTGGCTTTTTGTTGGGTTATTGTTGGCTTTAGGTGTGTTGCTGCAGTTGATCCCCAAGCACAGATAGCATAGGTGAGGTATGGATATATAAGTGAATGGTATAGTGTGAGAAGGGCAGTTTTTGGCACGTAGTATCGTATCTTGGAGAGGATCCCAACCGTTTTGGATACTTTTTTTGTTATGTGTTGGATATGGGTGCTGAAATTTAGGTGGTTATCGAGGTATAGGCCAAGGAATTTGCCCTCATTATGTCTGGCAATTAGAGTGTTGTCGATCTTAATGTTAAGTTGCGCAACACCTGCTCTGCTACCAAACATAATATAGTAGGTTTTGCCAGTGTTAAGTGTAAGTTTATTGGCTGTCATCCAAGTCGATATTTTGAGCAGTTCCTTGTTAACAATGGTGTTGAGGGTGGCAAGATTAGGGTGGGAGATGACATAAGTCGTGTCGTCAGCAAGATCATTGATGTATATGAGGAAGAGCAGGGGTCCAAGGACACTTCCATGAGGAACTCCAGTATCAAGTGGCCGTGTTGATAATCCAGGTTTACCCAAAGAAAGACGAGCAAGATAAGATAATACAGAATGAGATTTAACCAGGAAATCTACAAATGATTTAGAGTAAATGGAAGTGCATTACCTTAGACAAGCAGACAAACAAGGAAGCAAGTAATTAAGCAAGCAGGTAAGTATATTCAGGGTTATTAACAAATAAAATTAATAAATATAAAGAAGGGGATTATTATCGTTTACGTCTTGAAACCAAATTTTATTTTAATTTTGTGTACATATCATACAAACGCTCATTTTACGAAGGTGTTATGGGCACATAGGTGTATGGGCACATAGGTGTATGGGCATTTAGATATTATGGGCACTCAGGTGGTATGGGTACTAAAGTGTTATGGACACTCAGATGTTATGATCAGATACAATCAATAGAAGCAAAACACAAACCTAGCTGTTATCTTATCTGTTTCACTGCGTGATAACATACTTCAGCTTGCTCGTTGTTATGATAACCCGTCTTCAGGGGCAGCAGATGAGAACCCAGTCAGTACTGGTTACTAGGTTCTGTTGAGAGGTTCTTCTATCATTGTGAGTATAGGTTCTACAATACATGTCTTAGTTTAAGCTTGTGACTGGAGTGAGGGATAAACAGTTGATTCTGAGCTCTGCATGACACTAATGATGTCATAACAGAGGGAAAACGAGTACTTCTGTGCTCTCTATGACACCGAGTGTGTCATTACTGAGGGAAAACCAGTACCTGTGACACTGATGGTGTCATATATGAGGGAAAACACATGGCTCTAAGTCCTGTATGACACTAAAGGTGTTGTAACTGAAAGAAGATACGTGACTCATATTAATGTATGATACACAAATAACCCGCACATAGAAGAGAGGAGCTTATGACGACGTTTCGGTCCGACTTGGACCATTTACAAAGTCACACTAATGAGGAGAGCAGGCTGGGTAGATATAGGCAGAAGGTGGTAGTAGTAGTAGTAATAGTAGTGGTAGTAGTGAAGGTGGAAGGAAGTAGTAGTAGGGAGGTAGTAAGAGCAGGATGGGTCAGACAAATACTAAGAAAGAGGAGCACTGCAAGGGAGCTGCTGCCCACAGAGGGTAAGAGCAAAAACACCGAAGGGAGGGAAAACAAATAAATAAGTAAATAAAGAAGGAACAAATACACAGGGCAGAAGAAAGACAACCCAAAGGAGAAAAAGGAAAGGGGAAGAGGGAGAAGAAAAAAAAAGAAAGAGGACTCAGGTTAGGTCACGAGTGTTCCGATGTTTGGAGCATTTTACAATGTAGTGGGAGAGGAAGGCATCTACAGAGATGAAGCCGGGACTAAGATTCATACAAGGAAAATTGTGTATTAGGGAGGATTCAACCAGACGGCGACTGTTAAAGATGGAAGTAGGGAAGACAGTTTTAGCAGAAGACCAGTCAGTAGGATGGCTGTGATCTCTGACATGACAGAAAAGAGCATTGTTAGTGTCGGCAAGCCTAACACTATTTTTGTGCTCCCCAAGTCTGTCAGAAAGAGATTGACCAGTTTCTCTAAAGTATTGAAGAGGATAGGAGGAGCAAGAAACAGAGTAGACACCAGGAGCATCTGTAGAGGGAGGAGAGGTATGAACGAGATTAGTGCGATGAGTGTTAGTCTGGCGGAAAGTATGTGCGAGTTATTTGTGTATCGTTCCAGTCACGGTATTGTACCTTCTTTTGTTATTTAATATATGACACTGTGTCACCATTATCTTACTCAGAGCCATTTACAATAAAGCAATTCTTGATAAAGACAAGCTTTAGCTTAAATAATGCTTTATCATATAACGATAAAGCTCGACTTCAACTTGGGTGATACGTTTTTTAAATAAACTCTTCTCTGTCTCTACATATCTCACTCTCTCTCTCTCTCTCTCTCTCTCTCTCTCTCTCTCTCTCTCTCTCTCTCTCTCTCTCTCTCTCTCTCTCTCTCTCTCTCTCTCTCTCTCTCTCTATATATATATATATATATAAATATATATATATGGATATCAAATTGGGGAGGAGGAGTATGGAAGAAGTGAATGTTTTCAGATACTTGGGAGTTGACGTGTCGGCGGATGGATTTATGAAGGATGAGGTTAATCATAGAATTGATGAGGGAAAAAAGGTGAGTGGTGCATTGAGGTATATGTGGAGTCAAAAAACGTTATCTATGGAGGCAAAGAAGGGAATGTATGAAAGTATAGTAGTACCAACACTCTTATATGGGTGTGAAGCTTGGGTGGTAAATGCAGCAGCGAGGAGACGGTTGGAGGCAGTGGAGATGTCCTGCGGTGTAAATATTATGCAGAAAATTCGGAGTGTGGAAATTAGGAGAAGGTGTGGAGTTAATAAAAGTATTAGTCAGAGGGCAGAAGAGGGGTTGTTGAGGTGGTTTGGTCATTTAGAGAGAATGGATCAAAGTAGAATGACATGGAAAGCATATAAATCTATAGGGGAAGGAAGGCGGGGTAGGGGTCGTCCTCGAAAGGGTTGGAGAGATGGGGTAAAGGAGGTTTTGTGGGCGAGGGGCTTGGACTTCCAGCAAGCGTGCGTGAGCGTGTTAGATAGGAGTGAATGGAGACGAATGGTACTTGGGACCTGATGATCTGTTGGAGTGTGAGCAGGGTAATATTTAGTGAAAGGATTCAGGGAAACCGGTTATTTTTATATAGTCGGACTTGAGTCCTGGAAATGGGAAGTACAATGCCTGCACTTTAAAGGAGGGGTTTGGGATATTAGCAGTTTGGAGGGATATGTTGTGTATCTTTATACGTATATGCTTCTAAACTGTTGTATTCTGAGCACCTCTGTAAAAACAGTGATTATGTGTGAGTGAGGTGAAAGTGTTGAATGATGATGAAAGCATTTTCTTTTTGGGGATTTTCTTTCTTTTTTCTGTCACCCTGCCTCGGTGGGAGACGACCAACTTGTTGAAATATATATATATATATATATATATATATATATATATATATATATATATATATATATATATATATATATATATATATATATATATATATATATATATATAATATCTAGGTTGGTAAAGGAGGGGGTAAAGGAGGTTTTGTGTGCGAGGGGCTTGGACTTCCAGCAGGTATGCGTGAGCGTGTTTGATAGGAGTGAATGGAGACAAATGGTTTTTAATACTTGACGTGCTGTTGGAGTGTGAGCAAGGTAACATTTATGAAGGGATTCAGGGAAACCGGCAGGCCGGACTTGAGTCCTGGAGATGGGAAGTACAGTGTCTACACTCTGAAGGAGGGGTGTTAATGTTGCAGTTTAAAAACTGTAGTGTAAAGCACCCTTCTGGCAAGACAGTGATGGAGCGAATGATGGTGAAAGTTTTTCTTTTTCGGGCCACCCTGCCTTGGTGGGAATCGGCCAGTGTGATAATAAAAAAAAAAATATCTAGGTTGGTCTCATCCAAAGTAATCAGTTAAGTGTGGGTGACCTTGTACTATGAAAATGACATGATAAACGCTGTGTTACTCAGCTGTTTACAAGATAACAGTAACTTCCTCGGCGAAGGTTTATCATATATAATATTACTGCTATTACTACTTCTATTACTACTACTACTACTACTACTACTACTACTACTATTACTACTACTACTACTACTAATGCTACTACTACTACTACTGTTACTACTACTACTACTACTACTACTACCACTACTACTACTACTACTACTACTACTACTATTACTACTACTACTATTACTATTACTGTTATTCCACTCGCACCTCCGTCCGCTGATCGCGGCCGCCGTGTCTGAGCAGTCAAGTTGCCGTTTATTGGCTGATCTTCACACGTTGGCTTCCTAACGTTCACTCGTGTGTGAGGTTAAGAGGTGAGGATGTCTACTGTTAGTGGTGAGGATGACTCGTATTCACATTTTAATTATGTAATAACGCACATATGTAAGCAAATATCCATTTATACGCACACACAATGTGCACACCCAAGGACGCGCTGTTATATAAGATCCACATACATACATGTAAGTTGTACACACACACACACACACACACACACACACACACACACACACACACACACACAAAATGTAACATCAATGCAACAGTGTAACAGTCACAGCCGGGAGCTATGAATCAACCACTGCAACCACAAATAGGTGAGTTCACATTACACATGTGTAGCTATTACATGTGTACATATTACACATATATTTATAACATGTGTGCACAAATTCACATGGCATTATATGCATATACATATATATATATATATATATATATATATATATATATATATATATATATATAATATATATATAATATATATATATATATATAAATATATATATATATATATATTATATATATATATATATATATTATATATATATATATATTTATATATATATATATATATATATATATATATGTATATATGTATATATATATATTATATATAATATATATATATATATATATATATATATATATATATATATATATATATATATATATAATATATATATATATATGAAAGAGGGGAAGGTACCTAGGGATTGGCGGAGAGCATGTATAGTCCCTTTATATAAAGGGAAAGGGGACAAAAGAGATTGTAAAAATTATAGAGGAATAAGTTTACTGAGCATACCAGGAAAAGTGTATGGTAGGGTTATAATTGAAAGAATTAGAGGTAAGACAGAATGTAGGATTGCGGATGAGCAAGGAGGCTTCAGAGTGGGTAGGGGATGTGTAGATCAAGTGTTTACATTGAAGCATATATGTGAACAGTATTTAGATAAAGGTAGGGAAGTTTTTATTGCATTTATGGATTTAGAAAAGGCATATGATAGAGTGGATAGAGGAGCAATGTGGCAGATGTTGCAAGTTTATGGAACAGGTGGTAAGTTACTAAATGCTGTAAAGAGTTTTTATGAGAATAGTGAGGCTCAGGTTAGGGTGTGTAGAGGAGACGGAGATTACTTCCCGGTAAAAGTAGATCTTAGACAGGGATGTGTAATGTCACCATGGTTGTTTAATATATTTATAGATGGGGTTGTAAAGGAAGTAAATGCTAGGGTGTTCGGGAGAGGGGTGGGATTAAATTATGGGGAATCAAATTCAAAATGGGAATTGACACAGTTACTTTTTGCTGATGATACTGTGCTTATGGGAGATTCTAAAGAAAAATTACAAAGGTTAGTGGATGAGTTTGGGAATGTGTGTAAAGGTAGAAAGTTGAAAGTGAACATAGAAAAGAGGTAGGTGATGAGGGTATCAAATGATTTAGATAAAGAAAAATTGGATATCAAATTGGGGGAGGAGGAGTATGGAAGAAGTGAATGTTTTCAGATACTTGGGAGTTGACGTGTCGGCGGGTTGGATTTATGAAGGATGAGGTTAATCATAGAATTGATGAGGGAAAAAAGGTGAGTGGTGCGTTGAGGTATATGTGGAATCAAAAAACGTTATCTATGGAGGCAAAGAAGGGAATGTATGAAAGTATAGTAGTACCAACACTCTTATATGGGTGTGAAGCTTGGGTGGTAAATGCAGCAGCGAGGAGACGGTTGGAGGCAGTGGAGATGTCCTGTTTAAGGGCAATGTGTGGTGTAAATATTATGCAGAAAATTCGGAGTGTGGAAATTAGGAAAAGGTGTGGAGTTAATAAAAGTATTAGTCAGAGGGCAGAAGAGGGGTTGTTGAGGTGGTTTGGTCATTTAGAGAGAATGGATCAAAGTAGAATGACATGGAAAGCATATAAATCTATAGGGGAAGGAAGGCGAGGTAGGGGTCGTCCTCGAAAGGGTTGGAGAGAGGGGGTATCGGAGGTTTTGTGGGCAAGGGGCTTGGACTTCCAGCAAGCGTGCGTGAGCGTGTTAGATAGGAGTGAATGGAGACGAATGGTACTTGGGACCTGACGATCTGTTGGAGTGTGAGCAGGGTAATATTTAGTGAAAGGATTCAGGGAAACAGGTTATTTTCATATAGTCGGACTTGAGTCCTGGAAATGGGAAGTACAATGCCTGCACTTTAAAGGAGGGGTTTGGGATATTGGCAGTTTGGAGGGATATGTTGTGTATCTTTATACGTATATGCTTCTAAACTGTTGTATTCTGAGCACCTCTGTAAAAACAGTGATTATGTGTGAGTGAGGTGAAAGTGTTGAATGATGATGAAAGTATTTTCTTTTTGGGGATTTTCTTTCTTTCTTTTGGGTCACCCTGCCTCGGTGGGAGACGGCCGACTTGCTGAATATATATATATATATATATATATATATATATATATATATATATATATATATATATATATATATATATATATATATATATATATATATATAATATATATATATATATATATATATATATATATATATATATATATATATATATATATATATATGTATATATATATATATATATATATATATATATATATATATATATATATATATATATATATATATATATATATATATATATATATATATATATATATTTCTGTGTGTCATACAAACACACAGCTAGATTACACAGTATTGTCTGCCAAAAGTTGTCTAGAAAGTAAATACTTGAGTCCATTCCCTGACCAGAGCAGAAATGTTTTCTTTGAAGTCAATGCCAAATTTTCCCCACACACTCGCACCTGGTTAATATCTAACACTCCTTTGTTTTCCAGATGCATGTGAACGAAATCACTGTTGTATTCCAGTGAGGACGTGAGATACTCCAAGACTATGAGGAATGTAATACCAACAGACATAGTCATTGACAGTGAAGGATATCCCAAAAGTGAGGCCGACTGGTCTATTGGAGAAGTAAGAGACGAGGGGAGATGGACAAGAAGCGTTGAACCAGAAGAAAGAAACGAGGAGAGATGGACAAGAAGCGTGGAGGCAGAAGAGAGAGACGAGGAGAGCGGAGAACTAGCGAGGCAAAGGATCATCATCCTCAGAAGACATCCCAGGACGCTCGAGATGAATCATTCCTTCCCCAGCAGGACAAAGTTGAGAGCAGGCAGCCATCTGCTGGAGGATCACCAACGGTTTGGAAGCTTCAGGATACAGGACTTTATTGATGGTCTCGGAAACCTCAATTTCATCAGGCAACCTCCTGATGATTTAAGGAGTAGTAGCTTTCAAACGTGCATTAAGTTAAAGAAAGGAGTTCCTGTCAGCTACACAACTTGTTTGAGCCCCTCTGAACCATCTCTAGGTATTGTGTCCTCTATTACCAGTGGAGGAAAACATATATTCAGAGTACCTGTTGAAAGCCTTCCTAGCAACCAAAGTGACAAGCCAACGAAAAACTCCGAAACTATTTGCATCAACATATGGGAGGAATTCTTATTCGGAAAATCTGTACTGGATTGCGGTCAAGAGAACGAGACGACCAAGCCAGGCCCTCTAGGAGAGCTTAATGCCTTCCTGTCACAGTATTTCTCCAAGACGTTCGTAAGCTTCCTTGCATGCACCATCTACTTCGTGATATACTTCGCGTCTTGCTGTGCCTACAATATGTTCTGGCAGCTGGGTTGTTATATTCTCCTGGCCAGCCATCTGCAGATCCACGAGAGAGCATACGATAAGAAAGTAAATATCGAGTTTACTGGAAGTTGTTTTCAAGGTCCTACCTATATCTTCGTCAGGAATTGGTGTCAACACTGTGTTCAGAAAGACAATGAGAAAGTTATGCTGAATTTAATGAAGAAGATGAAAGCTGACATTACTCTCCCTGCAAACAGGTGAAAACTAACATTACTCTCCCTGCAAACAGGTGAAAACTAACATTACTCTCCCTGCAAACAGGTGAAAACTAACATTACTCTCCCTGCAAACAGGTGAAAACTAACATTACTCTCCCTGCAAACAGGTGAAAACTAACATTACTCTCCCTGCAAACAGGTGAAAACTAACATTACTCTCCCTGCAAACAGGTGAAAACTAACATTACTCGCTCTGACAAAGAGTTAGTTCATTGGTTTTGAAAATCATTCAATGGTACAGTGGTTATTAAGACTACAATTCTCCTCTAAAATAGGTATCAAACTAATGCTGCTTATATGTACTGAGAGATACTCGCCTCTCAGCATAACTGTTCACTGTGAGATAAACATCTTTTCCTATATGTGACCTAAGGGATACCCATCTCTTGGTGTGTGTACAGTAAGAGATTGACCCGCCATTGCAGCTATTGGTCATCTGACCGAGGCCTTTCGCTGGCTCACCGGTCAACCTTTTTAAAAATTATGGTCATATTTATAACCAATTTTTAGTATTAAAAGTAACACAATTTAAAGGCTAATATTCTTCATTCAAGAAAATCTACAAATATTTTTAGACAGCATAAATTTGTAATTTTTTTCTGTGGTTATAAAGATTTTTCAAGTATGCAACAATGGTGCATTGCGTAGATTTAACTTAAAAAATAAAGCTAATAGCGATATATTTCCTAGACAAGTCATGGTAGGCAGTCGATGGTCCGTAGCCGGGGCCAGGAACTGTAACTCACCTGCTTCAAATATATAAGTTCAACCGGGTAACTAGCCGTCAGTGTTTACTCGTTGTAAAACTATTTGTAAATTTCTAAATAAAACTGATGAAATATTGCGTGAGAATATAATAGATGGGGTAGAAATGATTCATAGAAAACCAACTCGATTTTATATAAATAAAGAAAATGAATCTTTTGTTGGATAACTAATATATATATTTTTGTCTTCGCTATTACTACTGTTACTACTACTACTACTACTACTACTACTACTACTACTACTACTACTACTACTACTACTAATAATAATAATAATAATAATAATAATAATAATAATAATCTTTATTTCTACAAGTACAAGGTATATAAACCATAGCTGACATCAGTGACATACTAATATATAGAAAGTCGCTTGTTATGCTGAGCATTTCGGGCAAATTAGGTCAATTTTTTTCCCAGGATGCTACCTACACCAGTCGATTAACATCCAGGTACCTATTTTACTGCAGGGCGAACATGGACAGCAGGTGTCTTAAGGAAACACGTCCTAATGCTTCTACTCATGCCGGGGATCGAACCACGGATCTCGGTGTGTGAGCTGAGTGCGCTAACAGTCAAGCTATTGAACATAATTGCGTTTTACTATGAATTCCTGTTTTTTCCAAGTGTTACATATAAGTATTTTATTAACGTATCGGCCGTCTCCCACCAAGGTAGGGTGGCTTGTACAAGAAAAAACTTTCATCACCATTCACTCCATCACTGTCTTGCCAGAGGCACACTACACTACAGTTATAAAACTGCAACATTAACACCCCTCCTTCAGAGTGCAGACACTGTACTTCCCATCTCCAGGACTCAAGTCTGGCCTGCCGGTTTCCCTGAATCCCTTCATAAATGTAACCTTGCTCACACTCCAACAGCACGTCGAGTTCTAAAAGCCATTTGTCTCTATATACTCCTGTCTAACACACTCACGCATGCTTGCTGGAAGTCCAACCCCTCGCACAAAAAGCCTCCTTGGCTCTTTCCCTCTAACCTTTCCTAGGCTGATGTCTACCCTGCCTTCCCTCCACTACAGATTTATACACTCTCGACTCTAATATATATATATATATATATATATATATATATATATATATATATATATAATATATATATATATATATATATATATATATATATATATATATATATATATATATATATATATATATATTTATATATATATATATGTGTATATATATATATATATATATATATATATATATATATATATATATATATATATATATATATATATATATATATGTGTATATATATATATATATATATATATATATATATATATATATATATATATATATATATATATATATATATATATATATATATTTATATTATTGTAACCACTGTACCACTTCATACCACAGTGTCACCCTGCTGGAATGATCAACAGTCTAATGGAACATAAAGAATATTTTATTAAGATAAGCAGATGTGTATTGATTAGTACAACATTTACCAGAAAAAATAATGTTCCATGTAAATGAACATTAAATAATAAAATCAAATACTGGATGAAAATAAACGATTAACAAAGACAAAAGCGAATAAAACAATAACGAAATTTCCATAAAACAAACACAAACACACAAAAAAGTAATCGAGCAGCCAAAACAAAAGAGAAAAAATTAACACAAAAAAATTCTAGCAGCCCAAAAAAAAAAAAAAAATTAACAGTTTTTTTTTACTTGTTTAAAAGACCTTTCCAATACCACGAGAGGAAAGAGAAACACGTTCCAATAATTCTTTGTTTAAGAGCTGTGGGGGGGGGGTTAAAAGCTGGTCAGATGGACGGTGCTGCAGGAGACATTAATACGGCCTTTACGTGAAAAGTTACATCGCTAAATAGGTATTTCAGTCGCAGTTTTTCTCCTTTAGCGGATTTGGCCGCCATGTTTGCCTACGAGAACAGAATCAATGA